CGTAATCACCATTTTTTCAATTCGACAAAAATTTATAAAAATTAAAATAGTTCAAATCGTTAAAAGAAAAAAATATGTAAAAAAGTAAATATTTGTTTATTCTAATTTTTTTTTTTTTAAATAATGAAACATGGTTATGAAGCACTTTTGTATAAAATCTAGTTATTAGAAAAAAACAAAAAAAATTATCACAAACGTACGTTAGCTGGACAAGAATAAGGTGAATTCTTATATTTCTCAACAAATATTTTTTATCCGTCGAAAGCACTGCCGTTTTTTTTGAATTCTCGAAGCTCATTTCGAAATGTGTTCGAGCACCTTAGCTATTTGGAGAGCAAAAAAAATTTACAGAGGACCAATACGGTAGCTAAAGCTTGATTAAAATTTTTCCGATGGCTTAAATATTTCGACCAACCAAATACGAAGTCCATTATCGTGGTGACCGTAAAGCGCCTCAAAATATTAAAATTACAACTCCTTATTAACTCTACTACTTTGTCACAAAATATTTAAAATTTTCATTTTACTTATATTACTCAATACCGCCATTGCAGTGAAACAGCCTAAAGATATGCTACAATAGCGCTACAATGATATTTATATCGTTAAAAGAGCTCATATCAAAGCAATTAAGAAACGCTCAATCCATTAGTAAGAACTCGCTCATTTGTTGAAACATGTTTTTTTTTTTTTGTCATCCCTAAGACCTGCTAAGACCCGCTATTAATGGCATTTGAGAGCATATAACACCGTTAACAAGTATACATAAATCAGGTATTTGTCGCATTATTTGAATTGTTTAATTGAATTTAGTTTATTTGTAATTACTTTGCATATAAAGCGGAAATTAGTCATTAATGTGCGGGAGATAATTTTTGCAAATATTTATTTACATATTTATATATATATACATACATATTTAATGGAAAAATGCGGAAAGTTATACAAAATTAGTCCAGATGGAAATTTTTCTCAAAATAAAATATTATATATTTATTTTTTCAGTCGACAATTGAGAAGCTTTCAACAAACTTTCCCTCTAAATTGGCCTTCAGTGTCTGATAAGTAAAGCTTGGGATAACATTTTTAAGTATTTTAGTATTTTACAGAAGCGCGTTGTAGTTCACACAGGCACTCAATTAGCTATTCGAGACCATTAAGCCACTAATTGCAAAAAAAAAAAAAACAAATTAGGGCAACAAAAACTAAAACCACAAACTGACAACTAATTGCCAATAAATTATCGTATATGTATGTAATTATTGAAACAACCCTTGATAAGGGCAAGCGTGTTGCTCAGTGATAAAAGGAAATGTCATTCAAAGCTAATAAAAAAACACAGAATTGTTTAGATTATAAAATAGAAGCTAGACCGCAGAACGAAAAGCCAGACTGCAGTGCGAGGGGCTAGTTAAAAATACCGTCTTACTGATGAGCAAAATCTTGAAAAAAAAACAATCTGTAGTCTTAAAACCCGTTACAAAATCAATACATAGAAACGTGTGTGAACACCAAATACAGCGACACAATTTATAGCTTAATTACGCATTAACCGATAGGCAGTTTTTCCGACCAGTCATTGTTAAGTAAAAACTGCATTCATTCATAAATTCAGTGAAATGAAACGGAAGCAAAATTTTACTACTTTTTACATATATAAAAGTGAGCCATAAATGGCAGTTTATCTATCTTATCTTACCACAGGCTTGCCACATAGTCGATGTGTTCACACATATCTAAATGGTTTCGTTAAATTAAAATTTATTTATTTACTTTCGTTTATCATAATCCAAACGCTAATAAATTAACAACAACACCAGTTGTTTAGAAAACACTCGCAGAGGCAGAAATTCGCATCAACTTTATGTATATGTATATATAAGGTTATCCATTTTGTGGTTTCAAAAGTGCAGTGCTGTAATTTGACATCTCTCGAACATAGCTGATAAACAAAACATATTTTGTTTTAGTTAAAAATCAAGCATTTATGAAAATAATTTGCTAAGCCATCGCTCAACGCGTAAAAAGTGGTTAAAATCTATTACAACAAGAGGGGGACCCAAACGTGGCCACCTTTCTTGCCCTAAGAGCAGACTATGGTGCACACAATCGTCCTATTACTCTAAAGATTGGTGGAATTTTAAACAAATTAGAAGAGACTGGTTTGGTTACAGATATCGCCAAGGAAAGGCCTGTGTATCTTCATTTTACTCGTTCCACCTCAACCATCGCAACTCTGTAGGTGAAAGTTCAGCCGAACGCTCTTGAGTGTGCCGATTTCTTATAGCATGCTCTGGCGTATTTTACTCCTTTGTACCCACATCCACATAAAGTGCCACTTACAACACAGCCGTAGCCAGCTGACCACTCCCATATATCATCTGGATGCAAGGGTAAGAAGTAGTGGGCGACAATTTTTCGAAAAAAAATTTTCCTTCATCGACGAGACGGTTAAGAAATGTAACCGGCGAGTTAGCAAACCTTTTAAATTTGTGGCTCTGAGAATGCTCAGATAGTTGAAGACGGAAGAAATTTCCCGGTCGCGTAAATCTCAGACTTTTTGAGCATCTGATAACCGACATTCGCCAGCTTATGAAGCAAATACAGCCCAATGTGTGCCAGAAAGTGTTCGAAAATTACCTTAAACGGATCGAAGTTTGCAAAATTTCACCAGGCGGTATTTGTTCGACGTGATTTCTGATCTTTGAGACTGGAAAGTGGTTAACCCTGTATTTATTGATATATGTATATGTATGTATACAATGAACGTCTGCCTAGTAAAAATCGCTAACGCGTGTAAAACAAACTCGTTGAATTATTTTAATTATAGTAGGTAATCGAAATGGCTTTGATGCGACGCTCAACACTCAAAAAAATGCATGAAGTGATAAGATATAGCGATGCAAAATTTGCCAAAAAAAATTACTAATGAACGATCCCTGTGAGGAATTGAGCTTGAGCTTTGAGCAAAATCTTTATCCGTTGATAGAAATCCAAAAGTAGGAAGGATTTCACTCCGTTGTAAAGTTGCAACGAAAAGAGGACAAGCAGAAAAGCAGCCGGCTGCTGTATTGTTGACTCGGCTGTAGGCGCATAGATGCCAATGCCAATTACGGAGAAAAAAAGTTAAATAAAAAATTTGGTGACTCCTTGGCTGAGACAACACATTTTTGTTAATTCGTTCAGGTTCACGCTTGGCTGGCCGAACGAGTGTAACTGTTGTGATAGAAAGCTCTTACCGACGTTTACTGGATAAGCCAAAGTTAGTTTAATTATAGCATTCAGATGAATACAACTTATAAAGGCAAAGTGAATATGCAGTAAGGACTGACAGAAACGAAGCGATTTAGGAAATCTAAGTGATTGGTAGAAGTGCACACAGGTAAAGCGAAACTTTGTTTAAGCATGAATCATCATAAGCCCATATTCTGCAGGGTGATAATTTTTTTTTTATTTAATAAATAAAAGAATCGCGTAAAATATTTATTTTTTTTTCTAGTTATTTTTTAATTATTTTTATTTTTATTTTTATTAAATAATTAAATTTTTTTTGGCATAGTTAATTTTGATATACACAGATAAGTACATAAATATATTTTCAGTGAAAAAAAATCATATTTAAATTATAATGATTTTAAACGAATAGCAATATGACAGACATTTTTTTTTTAATTTTCTTTTTGTATTAAATTCAAGCCACATTTCCATAAACACAACAAACATGTGGCAACCCTCTTAGAAAATTTTTGTATTAAAGTTTTATTTTGTGGTATACTTTTCATCTCTCAAAGTATCCATGAAAAAAAATTATATTTAAAATATAATAAGTATAATTGTTAAAGGGTGGCAATACTACCGTAATTTTTTCGGAAATAACACCTTTATAAATAACGTAAAAGCGCCAACAAAAATCGATATATTATAATTTTTTTTTTTTTTGTATTAAATACAACTCTAATATCCATAATTTCCACAAACATGTGGCAACCCTTTTAGAACATATTTTTAAATTAATCTTTTATTTTATGGTATACTTTTCCTCTCACAAAATTTCAGTAAAAAAATCATATTGATATATAATATTAATAATTGTAAACGGGTGGCAATACTGCGGGAAGTTTTCATAAATAATACCTTTGTAAATAACGTAAGACCGCAAAAAAAAACGATTTATTATAATTTTTTTATAAATATTAAATACAACTCTAATATCCATAACAAACATGTGGCAACCCTCTTAGAAAATATTTTTGAATTAAAGTTTTATTTCGTTGTATATTTTTCATATCTCAAAGTTTGAGTGAACAAAATTCATATTTAAAATATAATAAATATAATTGTAAAAGGGTGGCAATACTACTGGAATTTTTTGGAATTAACATCTTTATAACTAATGTTAAAGCACAAAAAATTTTATATAGATTTTTTTTTTGTGTTAAAAACAACTCAAATTTCCATAGTACCACAAACATGTGGCAAACCCTTTAAGTAAAGTTTTTTTTGTTGCATATTTTTCATTTATCCAAGTTTCTGTAAAAAAAAAATCATATTGAAAATATAATAATAATAATTGTAAATGAGTGGCAATACTAGCGGTATTTTTAGATATTTTTTAATTAATTTTTTTTATTTTAATTAATTAATTAATTATTTTTTAATATATTTTTTTTTTAATTTTGATACATGTATATAAATATAGCTTGTACTTATATAAAATACTTCAATTATTTACACGTAGTATTTCTGTTTTTTTTTTTTTTTTTTTTGTATTTTTTTGTTATTTACCTTTTGCTGTCTAACTAACAGCTTGACGCGTTGCTGTCAAAAGGATTTAGATAAATTTTAGTTATATACGAGTACCATTCTCATATCATATCACAAGAGGGTGCACTAAGTGTTGTATATTAGGTATGTGCTTGGCGCTGAAGCGATTCTTTTTTTTCATTTTTTCATCTATAAATTCGATAGCATTTAGTTAAATTTAAGTTGGCCCATATTGCATATATACGAACATTTAGTGATTGTCGCTCATATCGGACAGTACGATTCGGCTAGAGAAGTCAACGTGCGCTGATTGTTATTGTTATTGTTGGGTGTTGTGAAAAGCAAATATTGTATTATAAATATATTAAAACCATTTAACGGTTGTGCAGCAAAGTAAAAATATATATTAAATATATTAAATAAAATATATGTATACAAAACGAAAAAAAAAGTATTAAAATATCGAACAAAAATTTGTGTTCTAAAAACGAGCGAAAATACATATTTTTTCTACGGCAAAAAATTTAGTAAAAATAATTTTCAGTAATTGAAAACCTCCTACAGCACCATTGTGATATCCTTAGCATGCTTATTTGCTGACGAATATTTTGAAAATGAATTCATCGAAAGAGAGTGTAAAACGCAAACCGAATCCCATATTAAAATCGAATTTTCTGTCGAAATGGTTTTTCATGTGAGTAATTTTTCAAAAAAAAAAAAAGAAATTCAAATAAACTAAACTAAGGATGATAAGCTCTTACGCCTGTCCATCTAGAACTATAAACATTTATATACATAAAAAGCATGCCAGTTCCTTACCAGAGAGTTTAGTTCCTATAAATCGGCAACTCAGCATTCTCTAGTTGTATTTAGAACACGCCTTCAGCTCATGCTCGACCGCGACACAGCAGCAAAATAATGCTTGCTACCGAAGTACGATTGCCGACGGCTACTGAGAGCTTTCGCTCAACCTCTGCAGGAGTTTTCGCTGCTCATTTGGTTAAACAGCTTTAGCTCTGAAAGTCCTTGAACAATTATTTGGTTTCCAACATATATCCATTGTAGTGAGCTATGGGACTCTAGTCTGGTCAGACATAATTTTACCACAGGTGAATATGCCTCCATGCCGCAAATTTAAATTTAAAGTTTAGTCCTAATGCTGCCTTCATCAATTCAATCAATGTTCAGTTGCCGCAAAATGCCCAGAAGTACGCAGCTCAGGCCAATAGCAGGAGAATTGTGTTCCGTCAGGACAACGCCAGACCCCACACATCATTAGTGCCAGAAGCTAGAAGATCCAAAAGCTTGGCTGGGAGGATCTTATGCATTCACTTAATTGTCCAGACCTCACGCCACGTAATTTCTATCAGTTTCTGTCTCTGGAGAATGATTTGGTTGGTGAAAATTGGCGCCGAGAGAGGCCTGTGAAAAATGTATTTTCCCATTTGTTTGCCAATAGGGGCAAGAGTTTCCATGAGAAGGGTGTGTTGACAGATATTTCTTTCAAATAGAGCCTTCATTTAATTAAAAAATTATGGATAGACCGCAGATATAAAGAATGGTCCAAATTTAGCTAATTAGCTATTGGAAGCCAGTGTGAACACTGTTTTGCTGCTCAGTGTTTATTAAAAATCGATAAATTATAATCTTTTTTATTAAATATAATGTGGCAACACTTTTTAAAAATATTTTTGAATTAAAGTTTAATTTTGTGGTATATTTTTAATTTCTCAAGGTTTAACTGAAAAAATTCTTATATAAAATATGATAATAATATTTGTAAGTAGGTGGCAATACTACGAGATTTTTTTAGAAATAACACCTTTGTAAATAATGTAAAAACGCAAAAAAATCGATATATTATAATTTTTTTTGTATTAAATACAACTGAAATTTCCATAAATACCACAAAAATGTGGCAACCCTCTTAGGAGCCATCTTTGAATTAAGATTTTATTTTGTGGTACATTTTTCATCTCTCAAAGTTTCAGTGGAAAAAAATTATATTTAAAATAAAATAATAATAATTGTGAATAGGTGGCAATACTACCGGAATTTTTTAGAAATAACACCTTTATAAATAACGTGAAAACGCAAACAAAAATCGATATATTACAGTTTTTTTGTATTAAATACAACTGAAATTTTCATAAATCCCACAACTATGTGGCAACCCTTTAAGAAAATATTTATTGATTTAAGTTTTATTTTGTGGTACATTTTTCATCTCTCAAAATTTCAGTGACAAAAAATTATATTTAAAATAAAAAAAATAATAATTGTGAATAGGTGGCAATACCACGAGAATTTTCAAGAAATAACACCATTGTAAATAATGTAAAAACGCCAACAAATATCGATATATCATAATTTTTTTGTATTAAATTCAACTGAAATTTCCATAACTTCCACAAACATGTGGCAACCCTCTTAGGAGCCATCTTTGAATTAAGATTTTATTTTGTGGTACATTTTTCATCTCTCAAAGTTTCAGTGAAAAAGAATTATATTTAAAATAAAATAATAATAATTGTAAATAGGTGGCAATACTACCGGAATTTTTTAGAAATTAATAACGTGAAAACGCAAAAAAAAATCGATATATTATAGTTTTTTTTGTATGAAATACAATTGAAATTTCCATAAATTCCACAAATATGTGGCAACCATTTAAGAAAATATTAATTAATTTAAGATTTATTTTGTTGTATATTTTTCATCTTCCAAAGTTTAAGTGAAAAATTTCAATATCAAATCAAAATATGCTAATAATAATTGTAAATAGGTGGCAATACTACCCGAATTTTTCGGAAATAACACCTTTGTAAATAACGTAGAAACGCAAATCATTAATTCATTCAGTTACAATCACAATAAATCAATATACTCATACTTTCCTTTACCACCAAACTTGAACGCTTGACGAATTGTGATAACGGTGTAATGTCTTGGCACACACTCAAATATCAAAGTAAATACAAAACATTTAATAAATGTAGAAATGTTATATTTGGTTAAGGGAATCGAAGAAAGCACACGTCACAACAAAACATTGGACTTCTCAGACGCCGATAAGGAAGATGCGAGTGGGCACCACCTCTGATAACTCGAATTCGCAAAACTCACGCTGAAATTTGTGTGGTGCAGTGTCGAATGTGAAGCTAAATTTAGCTTGAAAAGAAACGAAACGAATGGAAATCTCAAGTGTCATGAGTCAGAGTGAGCATATACTTGAGATTAATGCGATTTCTTTAAGTATTTAAATGTTTCCTTGCGTAATTGGGTAAATATTACCGTTAAAGTACTTGAAACATGAAAGATTTAGAAATTATATTTCATAAAAGCTCAAGAGATCAGCTTTCATATATGAAATGAGGCATCGAAAATGACTTTTTTGAACATTTTCCAGCAGAACTACGTATTTTAACTATATGTCAAGCAAGCCAAGACGGTATTTTTTCTACATTTTTCTCTTTGGCACGCAATAATTTCCATTGAGAAAAAATTTTCCACAAATTGTCGCTATTAATTTCCTATAGGGTACGTTTGTACAATATAATTTCGTCATAATATAAACAATTTAGTTAGTTGTTGGCGCTAAAGAATTTTTTTCTTGTAATTTCTTAATATCAACAATCACTCTACGTCACGTCACATAGTAAAATTGATAGATATCAGACTTAAAGACTTTTGCTGTCTAAACTGTCACGTCAATATATTTGAAGTGATTAATAAAAATTTTTGAAATTTTGAAAGAGTTTGTATGAAAAGTTTGAAATGTTAAATCCAAGTAATATACTAAAAGAAATTAAAATTGAAATTTTTATTTATTTATGATTGAGTAGTAAGTCCTGCGGGTGTGTGCCTCATGTTAACATTATATAAGTATGTATATGCGTATTTAACTGAACACTTCTATTAATTATATGGTTATCTAAAGTAACAAATATAACTGTGTACCTGTACATACATATATACATATTTGTATTTATTCATTGGTGTAAATATTTATCGCCGCTTATATTTTATTGATATAATAGATTAACTGTTAAGCACAGAAATACAAAAACAATATAAGCAAATCATTGATTTATTTTTTCATTATTGATAAATGCATTTGTTATTATTGTCTAATTGTGATTTAAGCATAGTTAAGTGTCAACTAATTGCATAATTATATTATCCATTATTAATATTATAACATCAATTATTTACTCAACAATCTTACTTATGTTTAATACGCTCCATGCGTAATTCATTTATGAGCCCTTACAAAAAGTAATCTTCAAAAATCGTCTACGTATGCCACTTTTGTGAAGTGAGCGCACTTATTTCAATATTTTTTGAGTTGTAACACTTAACGGTGTTTGTTTCGATCTTAATAAAGCTTTAGAGTTAAGCATAAATAGTTCTTCCTTCTTTTTTATTTTATTTATTTTTATTTCATATTTTTCTAACTTCATAAAATCAAAATTTACTTAATTTAAAGTAATTTTTAAGTATTTATTTTTATAATTCAAAAACATATTTTTTCATATTTAATTAATTAATTATTTAAATTTTTGTTTTTCTATATCTAATTTTTTTTTTAAATATTTAATTTAATTATATAATTTTATTTCTTCTTCGTTTCAATTTTTAATTTTATGCTAACTTTTTTATTTTTATTTATTTTATTTTCATTTATTTTATTTTGTTTTAATTCTTTTATTTTACTAAATTTTATTTACCTTAGTGGAGTTTTACTTCATTTCATTTCTTTTATTTTATTTTATTTTATTTTATTTTATTTTATTTTATTTTATTTTATTTTATTTTATTTTATTTTATTTTATTTTATTTTATTTTATTTTATTTATTTTTATTTTTGTTTATTTTATTTTATTTTACTAAGGCGGGGACCGTAGCTGTGCAGTGGGATAATTATGTTCCTATTTTGATTGGTTTTTGAGTACTTTGATGCCTTAAAATATCTATTGTGTGGTCTAAATTTGTTTGCGGTTAGGTGTGACCATTAGGTAACCCACATACATTTTATCGGTTCTGAACGATTCGATTTCGGCATTCAGAGGGTCTATGGTGTGCTTAGTTTCTTACTTTCTTTACTTCGCCATCCAGCAAAAGTTATGATGAGGATATATTCTTCAACGTTTACTTGAACCCCAATAGAGACCGATGATAGCTAAAATCAAGAAAACTAGCTGCTCATAATTTAATATTTCCGGAAAATATGACAACGCCTCGGAATTTCTCACACCTATAAGCAATTAACTTAGTGCTTATGGAAGAACTTTTCACTAAATAAAAATGCGCTCTCTCTCTCTCTCTCTTTCCTTCTCTCTTAACAGTTGGACACGTGGTGTCTTCAAAAAAGGTTACCAAGACAAATTGGGACAAGATGACATCTACGATCATGTGCCATATTTGGAAAGCAAGCTGTTATCGAGTTCACTCATCAAATACTGGGAAAAGGAGGTGCGACGAAAGAAACCCAGTCTCTTGCATATGATCTTTAGCGCGTTCGGCTGGCGATTTGTGCCGATGTGCATTATTTATTCGATATTAGAGATTACGTTACAGTAAGTTGGTGAACATTATGGATAATGTCATCGTACTTTACCACTGATTGATTTCATTTTCAGTACCTTCCAACCACTTTTCCTCGGCCGCCTGGTAGCCTACTTCTCTGAAGGTCAAACGGATATTACCAAGAAAGAAGCCTACCTCACTGCCACCGGCATTGTACTCTGTTCACTCATTGCTTCGCTATGCTTTCATCCTTTCATGTTCTTCCTCTTCAAAACAGGCACGGCCATACGTGTCGCTTGCGCCGGTCTAATTTATCGTAAATGTCTACGTTCGGCGGTGTCATCGGACAATAATGGCATAAGCGGTTTCGCGATATCGGTACTTTCGACGGATTTGCCACAGTTCGATACGACTTTCTACTTCTTCCACGATCTCTGGAAGGGTCCAATTGAGGCCATAGTTTTCGGTTACGTCATGTACAGCGAGATCGGTTGGCCGGCTATTGTGGGTATTGCGGCGATTGCAATATTCATACCGCTACAAGCGTGGTCTGCTAAGGCGGCTGCCAAATATCGGCATCGGTTCTCCGAATTTGGCGATGATCGCGTGAAGTTGATGAATGAAATCATTACGGCAATACAGGTGATCAAAATGTACGCGTGGGAGAAGTCGTTCGCTAAACTCATTGCGATCGTGCGTAAGAAGGAGATACGTGCCATTAGAGGTTCCATGAATATCTACGCGGGTATGCAGTGCACTAATATGATTTCAAAGTGTGCGCTCTTCCTCAGTCTGATCGCTTATGTGTATACAGGTGATATTATATCGGCGCGTAAAGTGTTCATCATATCCTCATACTATGATGCGCTCAACGACTCGCTGCTGCATTTTTGGCCACTCTCGGTCACAACGTGGGCGGAAACGTTCGTCTGCGCAAGACGTATAGTCACATTCCTCATGCAGAGTGAGGATCCCGCCGATGGTGGCGTGGAGAATTTCGCGCTGGATGTGGACAAGGAAGAGAAAGGCAACTTTTCGGGACGTGTTCACAATCCACGTGCGATTGAGAAGAACGTGATATTACACAATCTAAGTGCGAGCTGGGATCGACCAGGCACGGCAAAGCGTCGCCATCATATTTCGGACGTGAGCTCTCACATACGGCCCGGTCAATTTGTGGGCATTGTAGGTAATGTCGGCTCGGGTAAGACCACACTGTTGAACGCCATACTCGGCGAGCTGGAAATCGCCAAGGGTAATGTGGAGGTGAATGGACGCATCAGCTATGCGCCACAAGAAGCTTGGATATTCGAAGCGAGCGTACGTGATAATATCTGCTTCGTGGAACCGTACGACGCACAGCGCTACAAAGATGTTGTGCAAGCTTGCGAACTGGAACGTGACCTGCAATTGCTACCTTACGGCGACTCGACTATAGTTGGCGAACGTGGCATTAGTTTGAGCGGTGGCCAGAAGGCACGTATAAGCTTGGCACGCGCTGTCTACCGTCAGGCGGATATTTATATATTTGACGATCCCCTCTCGGCTGTGGATGCACAAGTCGCTAAACGACTGCTGCGGAACTGCTTCCAAGAGTATCTGAGCACAAAGATACGCATAATGGTCACACACCGAGTGTATAATCTCAAAGAGGCCGATTGGGTTATACTAATGGAAGCGGGCGTTATTGAGGTACAGGGCACTTATGAGGTGCTCGAACAGAAGATCAGTAAACGATTGAGTTTGACACAAGAGGAAGTAGAGAAACGACCGAAACTCCTGCACACCGAGAGCATCTTGGTGAAACCGTCGGTGGAGGAGACGCAGGAAGTGGAACTGCCAAACGATACGGGCGTGGAGCGTAAGGAGCAACAAATGCAGGGATCCGTACGCTTTCACACATACGTGGCATACTTCCGCGCCCTTCGCATGCCTTGGCTGGTATTTGTGATATTTATGTTGTTCATTTGTGCGCGTGTCTGCCAAGCCGGCATGGATATATTCATCGCCAGATGGTGAGTATGAACTTGAACTGGGATTCGATATCCACGTATGAAAATCTCACAGTGAGTGTGAGTAATTTTAAAACTAATAGTGTTTTCCCTTCTCAGGGCCACGTGGGAGGAGTCCCAACCGCAGTTGCACGAGTCGAGTAATGAGTTCGATTTGAAGAGGTTGGAGATCGTCATCATCTATGCGGTTCTCATGCTGTGTACGCTCGTGCTCTACATTGTACGCACCTTTGGCTTCTTCTACATTTGCCTGGCGATCTCGCTGCGTCTACACGACTATCTCTTCAAAGGTATTATACGCGCACGCATGCGGTTCTTCAATACCAACGCTTCGGGCCGCATATTGAACCGGTTCTCTAGTGATATTGCAAATATTGATATTGCATTGCCACAAGCCATGCTGGACTCGTACTCGGTGAGCGGAATTGTAGCAGTTTCTTGTGCTCAGTCTTCAACTAATTATCTTTCTAGTTTTACATGAACACCATTGCGGTACTATCGATTGTGGCCTTCGCCAACTATTGGCTACTAATACCAGCTCTTGTCATGATCTCCTTGCTTTACCTATGCCGTGAACTGTATATCAATACAAGTCGCAGTCTCAAGCGTATTGAGAGCATGAGTAAGTACACGTAGGTACTCAGACTTCATTTTTTATACAAATTTCTATCCATAATTTTCAGCACGCAGTCCCGTATACTCGCACACAAATCAGACCTTCCAGGGTCTCACAACAATACGCGCACTCAACGCCAGCAATCACTTGGATAACGAGTTTCACGGCCATCAGAATACCAACACCTCTGCGTTGTTTCTTTACGTCAGCGTCAATCGGGCGTTTGCCTTTTGGACCGATCTCATTTGCGTGCTTTACATACTCGCGGTGACTTTCAGTTTCCTCGTTATAGACAGCAATTTCTATAGTGGTGATGTCGGTCTCGCCATCACGCAGTCGATGACTTTGATTATCATGTGCCAATGGGGCATGCGTCAGACGGCGGAAATGGAGAATAATATGACGAGTGTTGAGCGTGTTATCGAATATGCTGAGCTACCGCCCGAGCCTGCGCTGGAGACAGACACAAAGTTGGTGGCATTGCCCAAAACATGGCCCAGTGCGGGCGCACTACAATTTAAGGATCTCTATCTACGTTACGTTGAACAGAACGAGCCAGTGTTGAGAGGTCTTAATTTCGCTATCAACTCCGAGGAGAAGATCGGCATTGTGGGACGCACAGGTGCCGGTAAATCATCCATCATACAGGCTATATTCCGTTTGGCTTTGAATGAGGGTTCTATAACAATTGATGGTGTTGACATCAGCACGCTGGGCTTGCACGATCTACGCAGTCGTGTTTCGATAATACCACAAGATCCGGTTTTATTCTCCGGCACACTACGCTACAATCTCGATCCGTTGGAGGAGAAATCAGACGACGAGTTGTGGCGTGCTTTGGACGATGTGAAATTGAAATCGTATGTATCATCGCTGGAGGGTGGCTTAAATTGTCGTATGCATGATGGTGGTTCGAACTTTAGTATGGGCCAAAGGCAGCTGGTCTGCATGGCGCGTGCTATACTAAGACACAACAAATTGCTGATTATGGACGAAGCGACTGCAAATGTGGATCCAGAGTGAGTATGGCGGGGAGTGCAGGGAAAATACTTTGAATAAGCCCCCATGATATAAGTCGGTACCCTTCGCAATAAAATCCTTATTAATTTGCCATCACTGTACCTCTAAAAGCATTACAAACGTTTTGTTTTCTCACTGCTAATGTAAACTCTATTTTGTCTTCTCTCTCCCCCTCTTACAACAGAACTGACATGCTCATTCAAGAGACTATACACACAAACTTCCGACACTGCACCGTACTCACCATCGCCCATCGGCTCAATACAGTCATGGACAACGATAAAGTGATGGTCATCGATGCGGGTCAGCTGGTTGAGTTTGATCATCCACATATTTTACTGCGTGATACAAATGGTTTTCTCTATAAGCTCGTGAAGAACACCGGCAGATTTTCTTCGGAAATTTTACATCACATCGCGGAGAAGAGTTATAAGAAACGTGTGGGCGGCGCCGAATAAATTGATAGGGTGGGGGTTACTATATTTGGCTAAGACGTTTTTTTTTTCTTCTTAATTTTGGATGCAATTTTTTTTTCAACGGTTTTCAAAAAACCGGCTTTATTTTATTGTAAACTAGTTTAAGAAAAAAAATATATATAAAATAAGTTTCGGAATTTTTTTAAATTTATTTTATATTTTTATGAGAGAAACTGAATACAAACGATTTTTGACAAAAAAAACTGCGTTTTTAATTAAAAAAAAATGTCGTGACCACAAGATAAGAGTAAATTTCTCACCTTAAAACTACATTAACGGTTCTCTCGGAGTTTGCTGATACATACCTCCCACACCTTTAAATATACCTCACTCTCCCTTTCGCTCAGCACATGGCGTTTTAGCTTCGCTCAGTGGATTTACACAATTTTTTTTAGCTTCAAATGGCAACTCAACACGCGATCTCAACTCATTCATTACTGCGTAAATACACTTCCTCATTCAGACACAGCATTACGCCTTTGGAGAAGAGCGCACGACGCAGCGATTTTCTCGAGTATTTCGCTTTGAGAAATTCAGTTTCAAAACAAATTACGGAAATTACTATATTTTATTTATTAGGTAATTGCTGTGCACGCGCCATGTGAAGTGTTCCATATTTAGATCAACAAAATGTTATGGAAATTGTGAAATGCGTTTGATGCAAAAAATTATAGATGACAATTCATGGACTGGAATGGAAGATTTACCATAAAAAAATACAAGACGACATTAAATAAAACAAAAAGTAACTTTACCGAAAATTCTTCAGCAACGTACTTGAGGTCCCTCATTCCGTTGTAAAAATTTTAAATCCATATTCCACATGACGGTCGATTTGATTTACTTACATACATACATATGAAGCCATGGGTGGGTCCAATAAGAGGTGTTATTTTGATATTCAGAGAAAAATGAAATTTTGTGGGATAAATGATCGAATGTTTATTTCGATGGAAAGAGGAAGATAAGCCATTGATAATTGAAAAAAAAAATCCGCCAAAGGGCCGCCTGGCTACGCTTACAGGACAGTGACTTTTTCATGCATTTTTCTCCACCAAATCGCAATGTGCTGCTCTATGCTCTCAATAGCTTCAAGACTTCCAGCTTTGAGGTCTTAAATCATCGTTGGCCTATTAACGTATACCTCATCTTTCACGTGGTACTAAGGCAGAAAATCCCAAGGTGTTAAATCACAAGTTCTCGTTAGCCTGTTGTGATCACCTCTTCGTGTGATAATACGATCCGGAAACTTTTCGGTTAAAATAACATTGGTATCGCGTTGCCGAGATCAATATGATCCAATTCGTGCCGTTGAAAATCATTAATCATCTTTCATTAGCACAATCCACTCACCGTCGCTACCTTATTATCGAGAAAACCTGACCCTGCCGAGCCATAAATCACACCAAAAAGTGCAACAGTTTTACTTATTGACGTAGCCATCAAGTTGGAAATGGACCTTATTGGTCAAGATTATTTTTCGATGAAATTCCGAATTCATTTTCATGCATCTCAACGACCCAATCAGCAAAGACATGACATTGTTGATGATCGGTTGGCATGAGTTCTTGTACTAAGCTAACTTTTGAAGCCTAAAGATCAAAGTCTTCATGCGAGACTTGGTGTAATAACGTTTGTGGAATGTTTAATTCTAAAGAACAACCAGGAATAATTAGAACAGTGACCAGCCATCTTAAGAAGAATAGCTGAGGTCGTGACATGCTATGGCAGAATATTAACGTGTGAAATAATAGCTGGCCGTAGGTCCCTCCATTTGTTGGAAAAACATCAAGACTTGTAGCAGGAGCTCGCTTCAGCTTACTTCACTCAATGGGTGGAAAAAGAATCTCAACTGATCTGTTCATTTAGCAGATAAGATACGCACAGAACTTCCGAATTTGCCAATATATCGATAATAATAACGACTTGGTATATATCTGAAATACTCTTAACCGAAATCCGCACATGATAAATTTACAATAGCAGCGTATATATGCCCTGCTTGCAATGAGTCCCTGCCCAACACAAACCACCTCCTTGCATGCTCTTTAAATACAACTCAGCCATAGATCCATCTTTCCCTATGGTCGGAACCGATCGAACCAGCTCGTTTCCTGGACCTCCCTTTAGATGAGCTCGATGACTTAAGACTAATCCAACCTGCTCCTCGGTGGGGTTGGTAAACAGCTAGAATAAAAACAATCAGTGGCAATAGCATGTCAGTAGCGTTTGAGCCGTTTGGCGTGAACAACACGATTCAATCATCGGCAGAAATCTTTTAGCTGGAATATGAACCATTACAGTAGAGAGCTTTGGGTTCTTTAAGTACGGATGATCTTATATTGGGTTGTACGTACAAATCAAACTGCATATTTTGGAAATTATTGAGGTTTACTCATAACTTCTTACAGCCTTGGAGTACTTGTTGACGGTAGCTTCTACTGAGCTTACTGGAGTCACCAAAGCAATAGTCAGACGAGCAAATGAACGAACGATCAAAATCAAGGTAGTTGCAAGAGCGCAGATTATTCTTCACAAATGCGATCAACTTGCAATCTCATGATTTACAGTTTGTTTTATGCAATATGAGATTATCTCTTGCATAAAAGCATGTGAATATTTAAAAGCTGAAATAAATCTTAATTTATTTAAATGAACTCAAGCACACACAACCGACTCATCACAAAGAGCGCACTAAGAACAAGAAATTTCCGCGCCACAAAGTGCAAGTCGGCTGCAAAAGGGGTACACTAGTAGACTCTCTGATAATGTAATGAGCATTTAATACACAAGTATATATATTTATATATATATAGATATATATATATATATATAGTACTTACTTTATTTAATTGTCATTGGTATGCAGTTTAATAATACTCGCAAGCAGCTACTGGTAATTTGCAGATACGTCAAGAATAGCAACGAGTTCAAAGTCTACAGTTGTACGCCTACAAACAGTTTGAGCGCCATTGTAAACAAACTGCACTCAACGATGCGATCAAACAACGAGTGTCGTGCATATAAACAGAGAGCTAAAACTTGTGAACTATTTAGCTTGGAGTGGGGTGAGGTGTTTGCTGATCTTACAACAATAAAATATAGTAAATAATGAGAGGGAGAGACCAACTCAAGCCACCCACATACAGCACACACTCAAGCAATCAAATAAAATAATCATATTTTGATTTACTAAGTGTTCGCTGAAGATCAGTTTTGCTTGTCTTGAGGCAGTAAAACGTAATAACTGTAAAATTACCGTAAATTGACACCCTCAGGTTCAACTAGCTGTCATCAACATGACAGCAGCGAGTTCGTTGATCAACATTTGACGAGCCACTTAACAGACTTAAACGAATGCATACATACGTGTGCAGCAGCGACTAATTTGTGTTCGTAATATTTAGCGATTCGCGCGCAACAAAAAAAAAGGAGAGTAGGAAATAAGGCGAAGCGCGACGCGACGACGACGAATGCTGTGTAACATCATTTAAATATGTATTTATTATAGTGTAAAATTAGATCTAACGGGTAATAAGATGCAAAGTAACGGTCTTAGTTAAATCAGTTATAATTCGCGTGCGAACGCGTAAGCATCGTGCGCAACTCGTGGCCAGTGGTAGTGATCGTGCGGCGGAAATAAGTGACAGTGATCGTGGAATTGTGGCATAAAATATTTTAAGCAACAAGAAAAGGATATGCGGAAAGGACTTTCCAAATAAATATTTTTCAAATGTGAATTACCTGAGCAGTTTTGAGAAGTGCTGAAGATGTGAATTAACTGAAAAATTTTGAAAAGCGCTGATTATAAAAATTTAAATATATTAAATATATTTAATAACAATTAAAAAATTTAAAGTGAAATAAAATTCAAAAGAAAATTAAGGAAAAATTAAATAGAATTATATTAAATTAGAAATAAATAAATTATTTTAATTAAAATAAATTAAATTAAACAAAATAAAATTTAATAAAAATACATAAAGGTACGTAAAATTACATTAAATGAAATACATATAAAATTTAACAAAAAATATATAAAAATAAAAAAATAACGGGGAAAACTAAATAAAGTGAAGAAGCAAAATAAAATAAAATACCATACAAAAACTTACATTAAATTAATAAATTAATTAAATTAAATCAAAATTATATTAAATAATATTTAATAAAAATAAAATTGACAAAGATAGAAAAAAATTAATTAACTTAAAAAATCAAATTAAATTATATGAAATTTAATAAAAATATAATAAGGTTAAATACATAAATAAAATAATATAAATAAAATAAATAATAACAACAAAATAATTAAATTAAATTTAATAAAGTCAAATTAAATTTAACAAAATCAAATAAAATTTAATTATATTAAAAAAATAAATAAATAAAATTTAACTTAAAGAAAAAATAAAATTTCTGTCAACTCTTAAACCGTCGATCATCAGCAGCAGCATGTTACCCAAAATGAATGTAGACGAAGTGCGCATTAGCCTACAACGTTTCGGTTGGCCGGACTATGTTGTATTTGTTTTAATGTTAACCAGCTGTGCGCTGATCGGTATTTATTTCGCTTTGCAAATGCGTCGTGAGGCGAAATCGCGTAAATCTCTCACCACCGAAGATGCCGAGGATGCTTATTTCGTTGGCGGCAGGAATATGAAGATTTTTCCAATTGCCATGTCGCTGATAGCGAGGTTAGTTGTGAAGTATATTAGTGAAAAAAAAAATTAAATAAAAAAAAAATAAATATAAATAAAAATTTTTTTTTAAATAAACAAATTGAATTTAGAAGAACTCTGGCCATTATTATTATCACTTTTAAAGAAAACGTATAACATTGCATGTGTCCTTGTGGATAAAATATTTTTGATCGAGTTTTTTTTTGTTGTAAATTTCAAATATGCTCCTTTTGCTGGCCTGATTTTTTTTCATTTTGTGCCTGTATAGTGTTGACGGACCTGGCACTGTAATAGCCATCTATACATAATTTCGGTTTCGTCCATTTCGTCCCGGTTATCTTGATATAAGAAATGCTCCATGGTGTGGCCAGGTGGGTTTTATGGTGCATTTGATGGGTTTGGCAAGGAATCAGCCATTATGGGCCGTTCCCCTACCGCTAAAATCTTAACCCGCAAATTTACTGGCAGTTATTGGACCGTCTGAAGGAATTAATAATCAACAGAGGGGGCCAGCTTTGACCAACAGCAGCTGAATTTTTTTTTCATGAGGATAACGCCAGATCACACATATCAATAGTGACTCGCCAGAAGCCCCGATAGCTTGGTTGGGAGCTTCTTATACATCCACCTTATAATCTGAACCTCGCATAAAGTATTTACCATCAGTTCCTGTGTATACCGAATGATTTGACTGATGGAGAAGAAGACTGTGCAAATCGATTGTCTCAACTTCTTGCAAATAGGCACAAGAGCTCTAACCAGAGAGCCGTAATGTTAGAGCTTCCACTCGTCGATTTGAAAACAGCCTTCGGCAGCACGAAAAAGAGCTGCCTCTACCCCGCTACGACTGGCTTCAGTAACCCCGCAAAACTTTTACGACTATCTTAACTGACGTTAAGCAATACTTAAAGCTCCGTCAGGTTCGGAAAAAACCACTCCGAGCTGTTCCTTACCAAACGAGGTTACAGACAGGGCGATTTCTTATCTCGCAATTTTTTTCCATTTATTGCTAGAGAATATACGAGCAGAATAGCTGAGAAGATACAATTTTTAAGAGTGTACAGCTGCTGGCGTGCGACGATGATATTGAATTCATTGACCTAAGCAACCGCGCCGGGAGTTCGCCTCTCTTCAGACTGGATAAGGAAGCGAAGGATATGAGTCTGGCAGTGAGCGAGAGCAAGACGAAATATCTCCTGACATTAAATAAACAATGTTGGCATACGCCACTTGGCCCCCAGAGCAACTGCTATTAATACCAACAACAATGTCAGCCTTGAAATCCAGTGTAGGCAAGTAAAAAGAAAATTCGTCACTCAACAAACCAAAAGCAAACTCTGCAAGTCACACACTCCCGTTCTGCTGGACGGTGCAGAGGCTTGGACGATGTCAACAGCTGATGTCTCGGCGTTAGGAGACTTTGAAAGAAAAGCTTTGTAAACGATTTAAGTTGCTTTGCGTGAGGGAAACGAATACTGCAGACGATGGAACCTTGAGCTGTACGAGTTAAAGGACGACATTGACATAGTTCCGCGAATGAAGAGATAGCGAGTACGCTGGTTACGTCATATGATCCGGATGCATACGAATACTCTAGCTTTCAAAGTATTCGATGTAGTACCCAACGGTAAAAGCAGAGCAAGAGGAAGACCACCGCACCGTTGGTAAGATCAGATCAGTTGGAGAGCGAGCTGCTTTCAATCGGTATTTCCAACTGGAGCCAAACAGCGAAAGAAAGGGACGAATAGAGCGCTGTTGATTCGGCTATAGTGGCCGGACGAGAGGAAGAGTATACCACGGCCGCAGGTTGTTATGAATTTAACGGTACATCACAACATAGACAGCCTGGTCTTCTATTTTAGTACTTAATTCAATTTCTTTTACTTAAGGCTCTTAGTACTATATTAAGACAGTGGAGCTTACTCAATAGACGTCACCGTTGAGGTAGTCTATCGACACACAGTGCAAATTCATACAGAAATAAACATAACCAAACAAAAAATTAAAAAAAAAAACAAATTTATTTCAAACTTCAAGGTCTCGTTGGTGACAATTGACACCGAAAAGCCCAATGACTCACCGACGAGGGCAATCAAAAGAATATTTATGCTTAAATTTAATACAAAATTGTGTGTGGATTATCACCCCTGCATTGTTGCAGCAACAAACACACAGCGCCACGCATGCAACTGACATTAGAGCATGCAACAACAATGCAGAAAAAAAGAAAACAAAAACTTTAAATGATGACATAAAGGTGACAGAGACAATCAAAACACAAAAATCTTCACACAGAAAAAATTTGATTACAAATAATAAACGCAATAAAATGGGCAAATGCCAAGCGACGCTCAAATGCCAGCGCTAAATCGAGCTGAGCTCGTTTTACATATATTCAAATCCGCAGAAATTTTTATACAGTTTTTTTTTTTTTTTTTTTTTTTTTTTTTTTTTTTTTTTTTTTGTAAACTCAACAAAGGAAAACAGAAGGATTTGTATGAGGTTTTTTCATTTAATTTTTTGTTTTATTTTTTTTTTTTCTCTTTTTATACAGGGTTATTCATATAGCTGTTTCGAAAATAAACGCAAATAAAATTTATTTCAAATTTTTTTTTATTTGCATTCTAAAGTTTGAACCTTTTTGTTGGTATTTGTGGAGCACTACATAATTCTAACGACCGCCTCGCAAATTTTTGCTAATTTCGATCCGTTTGTGGCAATTCTCGACCACTTTCTGGCACATATTGGGTGGCATCTCGGCCCTAAGCTGACAAAGTTCGGTTTTTAAGTGCTCAAGAGTCTAAGATTTATCCGTATAAGCACATTTTTTTGTGTACCCCATTTAAAAACGATCCAACGTTGTCCCATCGCACACTCTCCGCGGCTAATTGACAGCGCCAAGACGAGAGGCTACGCAGCCGTGAAATTTCTCTCTCAATAAAACCATGTTCGCTGGGTGCTGTGTGGCACCAACTTGTTGAAACCACATATTGTCCAAGTCGTGTGGCAATTGTTGGCCGAAAAATAACGCTACCCACTGAGACAGTGACAGTCTCGCCGTCTCTTAACATCTCCGGTCCAAAGAGCGCACCAGACTATTCGTTTTTTATGTGCAGTGACTTATCTTCATCTACAGTAAAGTATTTTAAGATCCTCAAATGCTAGAATGTTGCTTATCCCCGACTGAGAAATATGGCTCGTCGCTAGAAAAAATTTTATTCGTCGTCCACCGCTGCTTGTTCCAGCACTCAGACGGCGTATGGGAATGGTCAGCCGGCTGCAGTTGTTGTATGAGCTGTACTTTAAATGGGTGTAGGTGTAAGTGCAGGTGCAAAATACGCCATAATGTGCTGTAAGGAAGTCCCAGCTCTTAGGAACGTCGAGGAATAGATAGAATAGGGTCTTCGGCTGAAGTTTTAACTACAAAGTAGCGCTGCTTGGGGTGGAACGAGCAAAGTAAAGATACACAGGCCTCACAATATCTATAACCTATTCAGTCTCTTCAAATGGCTTTAGTTGGACGTGTACCGTAGTCTTCTCCTAAAGCACTAAACGTGGTCAGGGTTGAGGCACCATTTTTGTTGTAGGTTTTGACAATTTTAACGGGATTTGCGTATATTAAGCAACCCATTTGCATAAAAGTTAAACTTTTATCAGGTGTACAACTTTGCTTCCGCCATTTTTTTCTTCCAAAATTAAAAGCTTTATTGCGAAAAGGTGCTTACAGATATATTATTCAAAGTGGTTTCCTACGCTAGCGACAACTTTCTCCCATCTTTCCGGCAATATTCGGATCCCGGCTCGAAAAAAGGAGTCCTCTTTTGACGCTATCCATGAAGCAATCCATTTTTCCAATTCTTCAAAGGATTGAAAATGTCGATCTGCCAGGCCGTAAGCCATCGAACGGAATAGGTGAAAGTCAGAAGGGGTGACATCTGGGGAATACGGCGGGTGGGGCAAGACTTCCCATTTCAGCGTTTCCAGGTACTTTTTGACCACTTTTGCGACGTGAGGCCGAGCATTGTCATGTTGGAGGATGACTTTGTCATGTCGCTCTTGATATTGATTCATGCCCAGGGTCTTAAAGCGTTTTGAAATGGCTTGCTGACTCACTCCCAACGATTCGGCAAGCTGTTCTTGGGTTTGGCACGAATCTTCATCAAGCAATGCTTCTAGTTGTTCATCTTTGAAGGTTTTTTCTTTTCCACCATCATGTTTGTCTTCGACCACCTATCGGAAAACGGCGGAGGCAAAGTTGTACACCTGATAACTAAAACAAAACATGTTTGGTTTGACATTTTAGTTTGATAGTTGTCAAAATACAACCCTTTGCCTTTGAGACCATCAAATGGATAACCCTATATATATATCTATATATTTTTTTTTTTTTGTATTCCTTATGCGCAGTAACTATGTGCATAAGTACCTACGTGTATATATGTTTGTATGTACATTTGAAGCAATTTAATAATTGTATAATAAATTAGACGCATCCACTCGTACAAGTTAGAGTTAAGAAGGGGCAGCGCCGCATACAGCTGTGCAACAGTCGAAGGCAAAACCAACAACAAATTTCATATATGCAAAGTTTCCATAATTTATTTAGCGCAGACGGACTGTGACGAGTTAAATCAAACTAAGGCTTCGACTTTGTTGTTGCTACTGATTGTCATTGTTGTTGTTGTTTTTATTATTGTTGTATTGACACTGCTTTTGCTTGCGCCATAACCAAATGTGTCGTAGGCTTTGTCAATTTGTCGTCGTCGCAGCCGCCTCGAACGGATGCTGGTGGGTGTACACGTATACAACAATGCAACAGCGCAAAGCAGAGCAACAGAAAGAGAAAAAAAAGAAAAAAAAAGCAAAGAAAGCGTGCGACGAATGACTGACAGCAACAGACTAAATGATAATTTTCAAATTGAATTTTAGCTAAAAATAAATCGCACTTAACTAGGCGAAATGAAGTGGAGCAAAAAAAAAAAACAAAAAAAAAGTAGCAAAAAATACTACGAAATTAAAAGCATTGAGCAATCAGGAAAAGGAAGACATCGTCTTCTTCTTAGTTGTCGTGAGCGCCGTTTAAGCGATAACATCGGAGTCCATTCTTCCTTCATCAACTTGGCGCCAGTTAAAGATAACAAGCGAATCAAGTTCTCACTGCAACTGATCTTTCGAGTGCAGCGGAGTTCTTCAACTGCAGAGTCGTCTTCTTCTACTTCTACTTCTTTTCCTTGTCCTTCTCCTTTTTCTTTATTGACGTGGGCACCGCCAAGTAAATAATAGCACGCCATTCCTTCCTTCATTTCGCTGTTTGGCGTCAGCGGAAATACCACTCTAACTGGATATCAGGTCGCTCACCAACTGATCCTTCCAACGGCTGGAGGTTTTCCTCTTTCTCAGCCTGCACCAGCGTGTATTGCATCGAATACTTTATCAGCTGAATGGGTTTCCTTAATTCCGAAGGCATGACGTCGCCATTGTAGCTACTGTCTCTTCATTCGCTGAACTATTGCAATGTCATCGCTTAACTCGTACAGCTCATTGTTCCACCGTCTGCGGTATTCTGCGTTTGCAAAACGCAAGTGACCATAAATCGTTAGCAAAACTTTTCTCTCGAATACTCCCAGAGCGCCACATCGGTTGTCGACATCGTCCACGCTACTGCAACAAACAGTAGGACGTGAATGATGAGGGACTTTTGTCTTTGCTTTGCATTTGCCTACTCATTTCCAAGAAAGTATTTGCATTGAATTTCGAGGCTGAGCTCTGTTAAGTTCCAATCGTCGGGAATCCTTTATATAAGACCGCATCCTGCATCGACTCCATCTCTTTGTTTTTCTTTACGCGGGCAATCGCTATTCAAAGCTTGTTGGTGTTGCTGTTGTTGTTTGTAGCAGCTCGCTAATCCCGCTTAGGTACAGATTTTATTAATCTATGTCGCCGAGGTCATCTAGTGGGAGGTCCAGGAAACGAGCTGTTTCGACGGAATTGGACCAAAGGGAGAGGGGGTTTAAATGAGTCGGTTTAAGTGGGCATGTAAAGAGGTGGTTAGTGTCGTGCGGAGACTCTCCACATGCAGGGCATACGTTGGATATGCTGGGGTCGTGTCTGGATAAATAAGAGTTTAACTTTCTACAGTATCCAGACCTAGGTCACGCAGGCCTCTCGAGACAGCTCGAGCTCGTTATCTGCAATGGTCGATGGTTTTACTGCGAGCACGCCATTCACTGGAAGAGAGTTTTTAAAGGTATTAATTGGCTCCTGGTGCCTGTCTGTATGCCGTCCTGTCCAGCGGTTGCTATACATGTTGCTGGATGGTGTTTTTTAAGTCGAGTACTCTCTTTCTGTGCCTAGGTGGAGGTTCAGCTTCTATTAGGTGTCTATTGGGGTGCTCCCTGCGGCTTCAAAGCTTGTCATAGTCATGCAATGAAACATTTATTTCATCATGACGTTCCTCTATACACCAGGCATGCTCTGGACATCACTCATAAGATTTCGACAATGGTGCCTACATGTGTAAGCTCCGGTCTTAAAACCTCCTGTTATTCGTCACATTTTTTCATAAAATTTTAGAACGTTAACCTTGTCGTCGAGTTTCTCAAACTCTTCCTGCGTACGAATTTCGGCCTCTTTCTTTTTTTTGTCCGCAAATGCGTCTTGTTTTGTCACATCAGCTCGCGGTATCTATCAAACCCCGCAGTTGGGGCAATTGGTTTTCACAGCACTTCGACATTCCTCATCGAAAACCAATTGTTTCCGTAGCGGCGGTACGTAGGGAATTAGAGATGCCATTCCACAGTTTCCTTACATCGAGTTGGTGATGAGTGCTCTCAGAAAGTACCAGCTGAGGCACTTTGCTACAATATACACATACATATGAACATATGTGACATCATAAAAACAACTCACACACAATTTGCATTTGAAACAATTTAGTTGATCAAATTTAATAACAAAAAATGCAATTCGTATTAATTTTATTATAATTTATTTAAAAAAATGTGTTTATGAAATATTCTGCTCACATTCCCCAATATTCGTGTATTAATACATTACTTTATACTTTTCATATGAATCGATTTTGAGTTAAATAAATATTGTAGAAATGAAAACGAAAGGTATTTACATTTATTTTTTGTGTAAATGTTAATTTATATATTCGTATGTGAGCAATAAAATAATTACCCCATGCAAAACACGTACTAAAACCCTTTGTCAAACCAAATACCTCAGATTGCAAGTGAAGGAGTAGATATGTATTAATAAATATATATACATATTTACATATGCATTTGCACCCACTGGCACAATAATGCCCCAGTTAACGAGAATGAAATATTTAACGTTTTTATTTAGTACACGAGCACCTCAAAACATTTTTTTGAGGGTTAAATGCGCTAAATATTAGGTGACTACGGCACGTTCCACAAACCTAATAACATTTGTAACATTTATTGGAAAATTAAATTAAACTAAATAAAAATAAAATAAAATAAAATAAAATAAAATAAAATAAAATAAAATAAAATAAAATAAAATAAAATAAAATAAAATAAAATAAAATAAAATAAAATAAAATAAAAAAAATATAAATCTAAATTAAATTAAATTAAAATAAATTAAATAAAAATATAATAAAATAGAACAAAAAATAAAATAAAATAACAAAAAAAATTATTAAAATGAAAAAAGCAAAAAAAAAAATAAAATAAAAAAATTAATCAAATGAAACTAAATTAAGTTAAATTAAATAGCATAAAATTAAACACGATTAATAAAATATTAAATAAATTTAAATAAATAAAATAAAATAAAATAAAAAAAATATAAATCTAAATTAAATTAAATTAAAATAAATTAAATAAAAATATAATAAAATAGAAAAAAAATAAAATAAAATAACAAAATAAATTATTAAAATTAAAAAAGCAAAAAAAAAAAATAAAATAAAATAAAAAAAAAAAATAAACAAATGAAACTAAATTAAGTTAAATTAAATAGCATAAAATTAAACACGATTAATAAAATATTAAATGAATTTAAATAAATAAAATAAAATATAATAAAATAAAACAAATTTAATTAAAAAAGAATGAAACAGCATGAAATAAAATCAATAACAAATTAAATCAAATTCGCTAAAATAGAATTAAAAAAAATACAATGAAATGTAACAAAATGAACTAAAGTGAATTAAAATGTAATGAGATAAAATGAAAGAAAATAAAATAAAATGGAATAACATAAAATAAGACAAATAAATTAACTTCAATTAATAAATTAATTAAATTTATTATATATAAATCAAAGCAACACAAAACTTAAATGAATTTATTGAATTTATTTTATTTTAAATTCAATAAAATAAAAATAAGAGAAATTGGCTTAATAGGAAATAAAATTACGAAAAAGTAATTTAATTAAAATAAAATAATTTAAACAATTATATATGTATTTGTGAAGTGAAAATATAATAAAAATTTAATTTTATTAATTAAAATTCATAAAATAGTTAATTTTATTTAATTAATAGAGACATAAAATAATTTAAAATAAAATGAAATAATTTATATTTAGTTAAATAATTATAAAAGTTATCGTAAAACAGTATGTTAACAATTATGTTCAATTTGTTTTCAACTTTTTGTGTTCAAGAAAGTGTTTTCTTACTGAAAAAAAATTGTAAGAGAAATCTTTGAAAATATTATCCGTTGGAAGCGAATACTTTTTTCACATCATTCTCTAAGAAATGTGTACTAATTGTTCTCAGTCCTATTATTGAGCCATACTTTTGAATGCATAAAAAAACCAGTAGAGGAAAGGAGCAAAGTTTGGAAAATACGGCGAGTGGGTCACCCCTTTCATTTCAACATTTCAAAGTAGTTTTTTGAAAGTTACAGCCGTTTGAGGCTTAGAGTTGTGAAGTTGTAAATTGCACCATAAGTTGTATATTTTTTAAAGAATCAGATAGATTTTGCGGTGGAATCGACAAATAAATAGGTTTTTCGGAATCTTATCAATGAATCCATCTTGAAAATTTGAAAAAAGTTGGTTAATTATTTTCTTTTTTTATTATTCAGTTTCATATCCGGCATTACGCTCTTGGGCACACCCACAGAAGTATATCTCTTCGGCACACAATATCTCTACATCATGGGTTCGTTGGTTATAATGGGCTTCGTTTTATACTATTTCTTTCTACCAGTATTTCATGATCTCAAGTTAATATCGACATATCAGGTGAGTAAATACAACAAGTGGAAAAATAAATATTTCTGTAAATAATCTGACAAACACTTATTTCAACTTAATAGTATTTAGAATCACGTTACGATCGCAAGATGCGTCTCTTTGGCTCTGTGCTCTTCATGTTCGGTTCGGTAAGTTCGTTATAGAGCAATCGGCAATCAGATATGAACTGAAAATTATACTCTCTCTCTCTCTCTCTCGTAACTTTAGTTATTATGGTTGCCAATAGTAATTTATGTGCCCGCTTTAGCCTTCAATCAGGCCACGGGTGTCAATATACATTTGGTAACACCGATTGTTTGTTTGGTCTGCATATTCTACACCTGTGTGGTGAGTATCAAGTGTCAAAACGAGCGCTTTTTGTTTTTTTGACAGCAATCTCTCCACAGGGTGGCTTAAAAGCTGTCGTTTGGACCGATGTGGTGCAGACGCTTATCATGTTCGGCGCTATGGTGCTGATCATTGTGAAGGGCACAATCGATGTTGGTGGTTTTGGTGTGGTTTATCAGAAGGCGAAGGAGAGCGGGCGCATTGAGTCACCGAAGTTTGTATTTTAACTTCAAAATCTATGTAATAACTCTTATTAATTAACTTTCTTTCCTAACCACCCAGTCTCACTTTCGACCTCACCGAACGTTATACTGTCTATTCACTTTTCATTGGTGGTGTCGCTCATTGGCTGAAGTCGAACGCGATCAGTCAGAATATGATACAACGTTATCTCTCGCTACCGAATATGAAGTCGGCGCGTACAGCAGTTTGCATCTTCATTTGTGGTGTGTTGACCTTCATATGCGTCTGCGGATACAGTGGCCTACTCATCTATGCGACATATCACGATTGTGATCCGCTGCAAACGAAGGTGTGTTAAAGGAATTCGCTCACAATATTATTTCTCTATTGAACCATCAATTTAACTTTCTTTATCTCTCTCTCTCTCTCTCTCTCTGTCTCTCTCTCCCTCTCTATCTCTCTCTCTCCCTCATTCCACAGCTCGCCAAACGTAATGATCAGCTGTTGCCACTGCTCGTCATGGAGATACTAGGCGATTATCCTGGTCTACCCGGTCTCTTTGTTGCTGGTGTCTTTAGCGCCGCACTCTCCTCACTCTCCACCGGCTTGAATTCTATGTCGGCTGTAATGCTAGAGGATTTCTTCAAATCATTTGCCAAAAAACCACTTACAGAGCGTCAGACAGCGCTGATAATGCGTTTTGTTGTCGTCATCTTTGGCGCTATTTGTGTGAGTTTGGTTTTTGTTGTCGAAAAATTGGGTACTGTGCTGCAGCTGACTATCACTTTATCATCCGTGGCGAATGGTCCATTATTGGGTATATTCACTGCCGGCGTTATGGTGCCTTGGATTGAGAGCAAGGTGAGTACGGACTGTTAGAAGTTCTATATCATATAAAACCGATCTCTTTTTTTTGCTTTGCAGGGTGCTCTTGTTGGCGGTCTTACTAGCCTTTTCTTTATGGCCTGGATGTGCATACGCGCGCAGGCAGATCTTGCTAGTGGCGTTGTGAGCTACATACGCAAACCACATACGATAACTGGCTGCAATTATACATTCATAGATTTTGCTTCAATGAGCATGGTGGCGGAGAATATTACGGGTTCCCCCTCAGCTGGGCACATGGAGTGAGTATAACAAAAGTGAAGTTCAAATGAACAACCAAAGTAACTACCCATCATCGCCTTACATTTTGTCGAGCTGTGGGTTCGTAGATGGTCAAACATCACTGCGCTGCTGAGACCATTAACCTGCGCTGAGTGAAGCAGCTGGCGTTACCAAGCTAGCTCTTAGCTAGCAGAGCGTAGTTCGCACAGGATATATAGAATATTGCTCCCTTTTGTCTTCCTATAACTATTCTCTAACCTGCATTCAACACTAGATTCTATTTTGTAATAAACTCAATAAGAAGAAGCATGTGATTTCGGACAGTATAGATTAATATAAACCAGAATTATTAGTACTTTTGAATCAGCGCATTATGCAACTCCAATATATTTACACTTCTTCCCTCCCAACAGCTCTTTTGGATAATTAAAGCTCGCTTATTTCCATATATTCCACTTCTGAATTTTTGAAGCTATCTTTAGTCTTTAGCCGCATTTCGTCTACTGTTTAGAAATGTTTTTTTATTGCTGCCCTACATTTTAGTTAAGGTAGGCGAAGCTTATCCAATTATGATCGAGTCTTCAGTAGCATGTCTCACATTAATTCTCGCTGCGCTCACCAAGCAGAGGGGAGTATTTTATCACTTGATCTTTCCAGTTAGTGCGTGGACGTCATCTTCTTCCGCTGCTAGTTTTCTGCCTACTTCACTGAACTATTTCAATTTCATATTACATAAATAACTGACTGAAAGAACCTCTTCCACTCTTATTATATTGTACCTGGTAGCAACCCTGGCTCTACCTCTACTTCTCTCTCTGTGTAATAAATGAAATTGTATTTTTTTTCGCTTTTTTCTTTCAGCAACGACTCCTTCCACATCTACAACATCTCCTATCTCTTCTACACAATGTTCGGTTCACTCATCACAATTGTAGTTGGCTTAATTGTTAGCTTTCTATTGGGTCCAAATAAATTGGAAAATATGGATACAACATTACTCTCGCCCTGTGTTCGACGTTGGGTTGATCGATTAAAGGCACGTAAGGCGTTAAAAGCCAACATACAGCAACAAACTCAAACGCCAAGCAAAGGAGGAATGGAACTAAATAATTTAAAGTTGACAAAATTGAAAGAGCCGCACACGTAAGAGATGCTTTTGGGGATATATTGAGGACGAAAGATTATTTATATTTATTTTTAAATTACTGTAATTTATTTTCTTGTAATTATTACACACATATTTAAATTTTTTTAATTTCCTTTTGCTATTTATTTGAAAGCTAAAAACGAGCTACCAATTGGTTTTTGAAAAATATTGTTAAGCCTAAAGGTATACTCAAAATGAAACAGCTGAAATGCTGTTGAGCATAATTAGTTTTCCTTTAAAAAGACATGTTTCACCTGTAGCCTATTTTTAGGCGCTGCATTTCATATATTTTATTTATATTTACTTACTGAAATAATTTAAAAATTGTAAATATTTCGTTTTTGTAGTGTTAGCAGCAGTATTTAATTGTTTCAATATTGTATATAGACATAAGCGATTGGGGAAATTTCCTAAAACTATATAATAATGTTCCTATAAATTATTGTAAATATATAAATTATAAAATAAACATCCTCCCACCAACTACTCTGCACATTACTCTCTTTTGATTGCTGCTAACTGGTTTTTTGATCTAAACAACCCTTGCAATTATTGACCTTCCACTGGAACTTCAAAGCCTGCCTGTGCGGCAATTTAAGCACAAAAATATTTTTCTACTACACTACGCTGCGTGTTGTTTATTTTCACCTAACCTCCAACTATCAATTGCAGTATATTTATTGTGCACCACACATTTTGATCCATACACGAACCACTAGGCCTTAACCTCAAACTAATGACACGCAGTTTTCCACTACACCCACTCCTTACAGTCCTTTCAATTGTCGTTGAAACCCTTTTTTGGGCTTCAAAAAAAATTGTGTCTTTCATCTCACTTTGGTTTTTACTTACATATACATATGTATATATATTCTCGCTCCCAATTTCTCAGTATTGAATTTTTAGTTTTATTCGAAAAAGGTCACTTGCGTATTTTTTTGTGCAATGTTTTTGAAAGTTAATTGAAAATTTGTGTAGTTTTTGACCAACAACTGGTAAAGTTGTTATAGTTAGTAATTACTCTTTGTTGTTTTTGCTTATTTCGTTCATTTGTAGCTGTGGTTTGTTAGCTACATTTAAATGGGGAGAGATTAATTGAATTGCTAATGATTTGAGGGGGGTTTTTGAAAAATTATTTGCTTATATTTTTAATGTTTAGCTTGAGAATAAATAGTTAAGCCGCGAAAAATAATCGCAAAACTTATCATCTCATTAGTGTGAGAACTTCTCTCTCATTCTTAATCATTGGCATAGGCAACGCTGATGTGATTATTGTCAAGAACTCCTCTATAACTTTCACTTTCTCCATTTTCACTAGTGGTTAAGACGTCCAGAGTATTCGGGGCTGAAGTGTTTTGCTATGCCGCCTCTCAACGGGCAATGGATTTTTATGAAGAGCTCTTTTAATTCTGGTGAGAAATACACTCCAAGAACTTGACATCCCCTGCCGATGGGCAACCGCAATTAGAAACATCAATTTTCTATAATTTTGGCTGTTGGTCGAAATTGGACTCGAGCACTGGCCATAAAAATGTCAGTACGCAATGCTTGGCACTCGGCGGACGCCACAGGAGATATTTGTCGTGTTCTCGAAATCTTGGAGGCCTATTAAACATAAAAGTGTGCCTCAATTTCTGTAAACTGTCAAAGCTATGGAAGATTTTTTATTAGCAGCTAAAGCAATGTGTTCTAGCCGAATAGTGTACAGTTTGAAGGCTCGAGCTAGTAGGAAGCTTTTCACGAAATCAGCTAAAATAGTTTCTGTAAGCCGCTGAACGTGAGGTTCACGAAGCAAACCTATGAAAATTATTTCCAAATACCAGTTTGAGAAAAAGTAAGTAAAGAAGATTCTTACATCTTTATACTTTAGGTCAACATAAATGTCTTAAATGTTTTTTTCCATTCTCTTTACAGGAGTTGAAGCACTGCGAAAAGCCACATAAATTTTGGCATTATGTTTCTGGAGAGTCAAAAAGAGCGGTCCAGCGTCAAGTACTTACCTCATTACAAAATTAATCCACATGGATAAGGAAGCAAGCATTCAAAGTTAATGAACGTGGTAATTAAATGAAATTAACTTTGTCAGCAAATTTTTGTTTACCTAACTTCAGGGACAGAAATTTGTAGCCGTTCAATTTTCGAAACATAAATAACTTTCTTATTTTAGCAGCGGAAGATGATTCGGATTCGGAGCTTATCGCATATATATATACAAGGCACTTTTCACAAAAACAGTGTTTCACACTCTAATAATTAGAATTCAGAAGTGGAATAAGTTATGATGTGGAAGTTCTACTTTCCTGAGACCCGTTGAAGAGGTATAGTGTAAAGGTTTCGTAGGGAACGAGCACTAGGTCAAATATCTGCTGCCATCAAACAACAATCGGCGCTCTTACGGCTTGGCTCCCACGTTTCTATTGGCATTCATAACTTCGAGGTCGTAGATAATTTTGACTAACTAGACACCAGCATTAACATCAATAATAATACAATAATAATAATACCAGCTTTAAAATCCAGCAGCGAATCACATTTTCCCAACAGTTGCTACTTTGGACGGAGTAGGCAATTAAATAATAAAATCCTTTCTATAAGGAGCCAAGCACAAAACTCTACATACTCCTATTATAAAGTACAGAAGCCTGGGTGAAGTCAACAACCGATGAGGCGGCCTTGGGTGTTTTTATTTATGTTCCTTTTTCACAGTAGTAGACACGACTACCGCAGACGATGGAACGATGAGTTGTAGGTGTACATTGAAATAAGTACGGCGATTGAAGAGACCAGCGATTGAAGAGACCAGCGAAGACGACTAGCTTATGTCGTCCAAATGGAAAAGAGCACTACAGGATTCGATGCAGTATCCGCTGGTGAAAGCAGGGGAAGAGTCTACTCCATTGGAAGAATTAAGTTAAGAGTTTCTCTTCTTATTTCCAGCTAGCAAAAAACAGTGAAAAGCAGGGAGTAATGGCGTCCTCTTATGTATTCGGCTTTAATACCTTTGCCAATGAGAAGAAAGTAGAGGTCATGAAGTGAAAACTTTGATATTATGGACTATCACGATCTTGGAATGAGACTGAAAGAAAATATCTTTTGCTTAGGGAAAGAGTCGATTACCCGAGGTAAATCAAATGGGGTTCTGCGATTTTTTAATAAAACAGTAGTTTTGTGTTCTTTCTTTTTTCGTTACTTAATAGTTTCTCAATTGTATATTTTAAGAGACCTTATCACTACATCGCAGGCCCCGAAGTTCCGTGCAAACAACACTAGGATGTATTAATACACGCTGCCGTTGAGCGAATCTCATTAAATATAATTAAGTTTTTATTTTTATAAAAATAATTCTATTACTCACACCACTGAAAGAAATGGTAATTAATTATTTTATTTTATTTTATTATATTTTATTTTTATTTTTATTTTTTTGCTTCAATTTACTGCAGGCATAGAATGGCTTTGACAGTGTAAAAAAAAATAAAAAAAAATATTTTTTAAATAAAACAATTATTGTACCTCCGAAAACTGACAACTCACACTGCCACAAAAAATTATACGTACCCTCTCCAGCCTTCAGTTGCATACCCGAAATAACGAAACGAAAATATGAGATAATACAATACAACAATAGAACAACAAAGCCATTAGTGATGTCAACTCTTTTATGCCGTTAGTGTCAAAACAAAACCACTCACAAAGAGTGTAGAAAAAGAATAGAAGAAAAAGAGAAAAACAACACAAAAAAAACGCAAAATGACATGAGTACCAAATTTTTGATTTTTCTTCTACTATTTTGTAGTTAAATATTTTTTCATATTTATTTTCTACCCGAAAATTGCATTATGGTTGGATGAAATTATAATTAAAATTGTTGTAAAATCGCACATAAAAGACAAGCGGAAATAAACAGTGCACCCGCATGTAACTGAGTAGGGCCCTCAGGAATAATCTGACTTAAAAACTTAAAACTAAAAATATTTTCATTTTAAACATTTAAATCTCAACTAAACTTGTTAAGCAACCTCATGAACATAAGGTTGGAGCATGACAATAGTTGATGAGATTGAGGTTAGGTTAGGTTTGGAAGTGACTACCACATCTCTCGGTCGGACAATTTGTAGCACTTTCCTTTTGTAATGGTCACTTTTACCCGCTTCAGAGCGACCGAGTGATGGTCGATATCGCTTACTGCAAAACTTCAGCCTGCGAAGCTGGTACCATTTTCATATTCAATAGCTCCGCCTCGATGGTTAAAGCTATGAGATCCGAGATATTTGAGCTTGGTTTCGTGAAAGCAGCTCAGTTGAAGTGTAAGTGTCGAATTGAGTCCACCTTAAATTTGCAATAAGAGTGCAATCATAACAGTAATGGTAGTCCTGTCAGCCATTGGCGAGACTTTGTGAGTGTTAGAAGATAACTTGGTCTTCTGGTGGGCCATCTGTCCAGAAGGCAACCTGTACCCAAAGTCGATGGTGAGTTTCCCTCATCATCTAGCCTCAACTCAACTCTAAAGATGTTGACTAACCCTGCCACCTCCTCCGAGCAAATTAAAAAACTCTTGAGTGGAATAAACGCAATGAAATACTTGCTGAGTCCCAAAATTGACACTTTTTATAGGGAATGAAGTCGAGACTGATTCGAGCTCTCTCATATTTGACCTGGGTCTTAGATCGAACAGTAAGACAGTTACTCCAAGCCTTCAGAGCGGCAACTTTGCCGGTTTATCAAGCAGGAGACCAGGGAAAGGTGAGTGGTGTTTGCTGAAGAGGTCATATAAGGAAGTGGTTAGTGTCATACGCGGACTCATATCATACCATAGTACATAGAATTACGACTAAAGTATCCAGACCTCAGTTAAGACCAAGATTAATTGCACCTTCTCAAGCGGCCGGACGTCTTCGTCTACGATAGCTGGAGTTGGGATTCCAATAGCGCCATATACACTGAAAGTGTTGAGTAAGGTCTTTAAGAATTAAGTTGCATCATAATTTTGAGGGTCTCAGGAGGCGAGACGAGCTACTCGTCACCCTTTTATGTGGAGAAATTTTAATGTTATTGGCACTATTTACCGTGAGTGATTCTCGGCTGAGTTTGTCATAACAGAGAAACCAAAGTTTTCTAAGTCACCTCCGAATGGCAGAAGGATTTTTATGAATACCTCTTCATATCACATATAAGAAATACACTCTTATACTCTTGAAATACCCCACCGAGGGACGACCGTTAATGGGAAAATTAATTTTCTATAATTTTTGTATGTAGGACGGTCGTTGGTTGACTCAAACAGCCTTGCAAATATTGGTACACAAAGTTTACCACTGGAAAAAATTCACCACTCAGCTATTGTGGCCACCAAATATGCGCCAACCTAACCTCACATATTTAAAAATAATAATACAAACAAAAAAAAATACAGAAATTTCCAACTTCGGTTCTAATTTGACGATTTCAGTTGCTTTCTATTACTTCTTCCTCCAGAGTGACTTCTAATTTTTT